TCACCCAGTGAGCAAACCGGCCATCCGTATATGGGATCCGAACCCGTGGCCTTGGTATTATGAGCACCGCACTATTCCGAGTGAGCCACAGGCCGGCCCTGGGCACGTTTCTGAACCAAGCTGTCTCTGCTTATGCAGTTGCCACTTGGTTGATTTTCCATTGCAGGATGACCCGGGATTATCCATGGCTGGCCAGTTTCACTTTTTTGTAGTCCATTATGAGGAAGGTGAGCAGTGCAAAGTAAAACAGACATGGTTTCCTTCAGTAAAAGCACTGGAGGGCATCTATTCCACGTCAGAGTATTTGACCCTTCCTCATTCTTGGCCCTTTGGAGAAGGCTCCTTCCAGTGAAGTCTAGGGACAAAGTGCCGGTAAGCACAAGATGCCAGGAAGTGGCTAAATGGCCCGACATAGAGTACGCAGTAAAGAACCAGAATCCCCTCAGGCAAGCCACTGCCAGCGCACCTCACGAGGGGTAATCACTTAACTGAGTTTGTGGCTGTTTCACAGGTATAATGTTTTTTCTTCTGTTTAGATGGGTTTTTTAGGGCAAAGTCCGAACAGTAGCTCTGACTGAACCAGCAAGCCCAGTCTGGTTAAGTGATGGGCCTGAGAGAGGTTTGGTTCAATCATCTGTAATTTGTGATTTGCCGTAATTTGGGTGAGGCTTTACTTTTTTCCGCCGTGTGTGTTCTTCTAGGTCCCTAATATCTAGACAGAGCCAACCATACCATGGGGGTGACAGGTTTAGAATGATCCCATTTTATTCTTTAAATTTGTTGTTGTTGGGCCGGCCTGTGGCTCACTCGGGAGAGTGCGGTGCTGATAACACCAAGGCCATGGGTTTGGATCCTATTTAGGGGTGGCCGGTTCGCTCACTGGGTGAGCGTGGTGCTGACAACACCAAGCCAAGGGTTAAGATCCCCTTACCAGTCTCATCTTTTAAAAAATAAATAAAATTGTTGTTATTTTTTAAATCTTTCTTTGGGATTAGCCCATTTTACATAAACGACACCCCTAGACAAAGAGAGACTTGAGGGACTTGGTCGAGGATGCCTAGGGCATTAGGGGCGGGAGCCAGGTCGTAGAGGGGCTTGGACGAGAAGGCTGCCCCCGCATTAGTGGACCCGCTACACAGGCTGCGCCCCGCCGGGGTGACCCAGCGCCGGCCTGCCGGCAGGGGGCGCTGTCCCCACCCGGGCCGACCACTGGGCGCGCGGCCCAGCACAGCTAGAGAACTGCGCCCTGCGGGGACCCCTGTTGCCCCCCCCCCCCCCCCAGCTCGGGGCTGGGGTCAGTGTCACACCGAGCGGGAACCGCGGCCGCAGAGGACGGGGCGCTGGATCCAGAATCCCGCGGAATTTCGGAGCCTAGGGAGGCGCTGGGGTCGCTGAGCGGCGAGGCCGAGAG